AACAGGCTGTACCACTGTGTATGATCCCCACTGTCCAATCCTATCCTAGCCTTTTCTTCTCACCGATGTAAGCCCCAATAAACCACAGCCAGCCCTAGCCTTCTGAGTGTCTTCTTCCCAGAGAATCCAACTGTCACTGATTCCTGTACCCCACCTTATGTCCTTCCAGCCTCTTAGACTCAGCTGTTAGATTGTGCCAAACCCTACCCCCGAAGGACAGCCTCTCCTATCTTCCAGGGTTCTTATCTCCTCTGAACCTCCAAATGTTTCTGGCCTTAACTCTTCCTTACACCCCAAACCCATCTAAGTTAGGGGGACCCTATGCAAACTATCTGGATTCCGATCTCCCCTCACTCAGACACACAAGTGTGTTCTTGCCGCGCTCCTCCTGGCTCCAAGGCAGCCTGAGCTGAGTTGGCACTCAAAGCTCATGCACAGAAGCTGGCCCGAACGCCTCATCCTGTCACTCAAGGCTATTAGCAAAATGGCTCCTTATCATCCCAGAATCCCTTTCTCTTCTCTCTTCACTGTCATAGCACCGGCTGCCCTTGTTCCTGACACCCCTTTCCCACGGAAGTCCTTTCCTTTTGCACCCTGCAGCTCCCTGTCCACGCCCATCCCTGCTCCACTCAGGGCCTTTCTCAGACACCAGTTCCTGGGGGTGGGGGCACTCTGTGCTTATGTCACTAGATCTAACTTTAGTCATGTTGAGCTCTTTTAGGTGACTCAAGGGTCCTTTCGGCCTCTCCCTGGGAGGTTGGTTCATCTTGATTTGCACCTGCAGCCTTCAGGCCCCCTGAACTCCAGGAAACAACCAAATTCAGCCCAGAAATTCCTCTCTTGTCACCCAGCCTCTGGTTGACACAGCCCTCTCAGCCCTCCTTTCTATGAAAATCCCTGCAGAGAAATGTCCAAAACCTCTTCCCAGATGTGAAGGGGGGAGTGGGCTCCTGCGTTCTTCCCTGAGGAGTCAAGCTGCTTTCCTTTGCCCTCTGTGCCACCTCATTAACCCGCCTACCACCCAACTCTCACCCCTAGAGCCAGCAGCCCATGGTGGATGCTGGCCTTGGAGGGCCCTGTGTCCTGAGGGCGGGAGAGAGACTTCTTCACGGAGCCCATGGCTCTCAGCAGCTGCTCCAGAGCCGAGTGGTGGTGGATGTGGATGTTGACTTGAGGGGACGTGGGCAGTGCAGATGCCACTTCAGCTCCATCCACCGTCACCGTGGTTTGAGCCATCTTTCCTGGTGGGGAAATAAACAGAAATGGATGAAGTACGGGAGCTAGGAAAGATAAAGAAAGTGGAGTAATGGGTGGATCAAGGTCAAGAAGATGCCCCAAGCGAAGATGCCAGTGTCACTGTGGCCCTTGTTTGAGAGTCAAACCACTTTTAGAGCCTTTCACCACGCGCAGTCCTGGGCTGCTTTCCCGAAGGATTAATGGAATGTTATTGTCAGAATGCAGGGCTCCTCACAGACCATTGCCTGCTTGGTCTTGGCTGGTGGTGCTGTGGGGACTGGTTGGAAGATGTCAGTCAGTTAACAGGACTGTGCCTTTGAAGAACATCTAAGTCCCCCACCCCAAATTCACTTCCTCCTCTCCTTTCCCTCCTCCCTCTCCCCACCTCTTCCTCATTCTACTCTTTTCTGACCACAATGAGGTAAGCAGCCTCTACTACAAACCCCCACTGTCCTGATATTCTTCCTTGCCTTGGGCCTCAGCTCAAAATGTCTGCCCCAGTAAGCCACCAAAGAAACCTGTAAATCTACCTTCACTCAGATGTCTATCACAGTAACATAAGGCTGCCTAATACAGCTTGACTTGGGTCTAAGAGGGACAAAAAGGATTCTGAGTTCACACACACACACACACACACACACACACATGTGCACACACATGGACACACACACAAATGCATGCACGCACACACGCAATACTTGTTAAAAAGTTCAAAAGAGGGCTGAGGATGTAGCTAAGTGGATAGAAAATTGCTGTATACGTATGAGGACCAGCCTTCAGGTTCTAGAACCCATGTAAAAGCTGAGCAGGCGTGATGGCTTCCTGTGACCCCAGCTCTTGGGAGGTAGAGACAGGATTCCCAGGGCAAGCTGGCCTGCTAAGCTCTGCATTTAGCTGAGAGAACCCACCTCAATGAAGTGGAAATGAATCAAGGAAAACATGCAATGTCAACTTTGGGCTTCCACATGCACGATCTCACATGTATGTGTGCACCTTCCCGTATACATTTGTGCCCACACGCATACCAACACACATGCACACCCACACTATACAAAAGTACATAAAAGTGCAAATGATAAAGGAAAAGAATATAGTTTTAGAATCCCTCTTTTTATGTCCTCCAAGTTGCCGAGTTGCATTCCAGATGGGAACTAACGTGACCAGTTTCTTCAGAGCCTCCAGTGCCATGTTTTGTACACAGGAGCGTGTAAAGTATTCCTTCTCGTCCTTCCTCACAAATGGCCACTTACCATACACGGCCCTGTGCAACATGGTGCTGATGTGCTCACATGGTTTAGGATCATCCTACATCAGTCCATCAAAAGCTTCCATTTGTATGACTGCCTAACACTTCAGTGTGTGTGTGCGCGCACACGCATGTGCTTGCTCGCGTGCGCACACACACGTGAATATTTGGATACTCTCCTATTGATAGACACTCAGGATATTTCCAATCCCTTTGCATCATGACCAGGATGTAATAATGTATTTCTAGTGGCTGTTGTCAGTCACCCTCCACGGACGTTGTAGCAATGACCATATATATATGAGTGCCATCCAGTTCTCCCCCTGCATGTACTGGCAATTTCTGCTTCCTTCATTTTACATAAGAGAAATTGCATTCTCTTATATGTTTTAATTTAATGCAATAAATTGTTCAATTTTTCATTGCTTTTCTTGAATGTGACAATATTTATCTCTATGAAAGCACAGCTATAATCAAGGTGTGCATTGCAAACGTCCCTCCAGGTGTGGCGGCACACACCTTCAATCCCAAACTCAGGCGGTAGAGGAAGGTGGATTTCTGTGAGTTGAAGGATAGCCTAGTCTACATAGCAAGTTCCAGGCCAGCCAAGGATACACAATGAGATCTTACCTCAAAAAATAAAAATAAAAATTACCCAATACTCCAGCCCCCCCCCCCATAAATCACCTTGTACAAGTTTTCCACATTGGTTTCTATCATTGTTTTTGGTGTTCTTTCATAATGTGCTTGGCTGTCTTTTTGTTTAAGGGCATTTTTTATTCCTTCTTTTGTAAGATCTTCATTTTCATACTTCCTGATTTTTTTCATTAAAGTTCTTTGTATATTTGAAAATTTACCAATGGCAATGTGCACTCACACTCACATCCACATGGACAGGTATGAACTCGATTTAAGAAGAAACGCTAATCTTTGGATCTACATCATAATCTCGAGATGTGATGCAAAGGGAGGTAGTATTAGCCTCTGAAGAATAGTTTCTACTGTGCTATGTGTCACCTTTCTCCCTCTGACTAAAAACATTGCCCTGAGTTTCCATAGGGCCTCAGGTCCACAAGGTCTTCGTATTCTGCCTACTTGAATGTTCAATGGCCTCCTTACTACTGCTACCCTTCTAACCAGCATAGAGTTAAACACATCCTGCCTGCTTCCCGGCTCTCTCCTGTTACTGGTTCAGAATTGCCATTTCCATTTTAGCCCCTCTGGTCAATTGCTTAGATCCAAAAGAAATCTGCCCAGGAGACTCTACTAAGCAATCTGGTTAAGTATCCTTTCCGACTGGATATCGCTAGCCGCTCCAGTCTTACCAGTCTTAAACCCATTTGTATTTGCCCCACACGTTGGAGAGCGGTTCACCTGCACTCACCTGGGCACCTCGGAGGTGAGAGGATGGAGTCTGACAACTCTTCAGGAGGGAGGAGGAGGCTTTGGGCTTCTTCACAGAAACACAAGTGAAGGCTCCAGGGTCTCACCTTTCCTTGAGGTTCCAGGAGTCAGGAATGAAACCTCAGTTGTGTCTGTATGCTGATGCCCTCCAGGTCCCCAATAGCACCACCACCCTGGCCACTCAGAAACCTTTATGCTCACCGCTGCTGCCACCACTCCAGTGACTCCCTGATATTCCTCCTCCCAGTGCCCAGGAATAGAGAAAAGAAACACCCCCTGTCTGTCTTTACTCCACAGCCATCCCACTCTCTCAGAGTGCAGGGGTGAGGCGGTGGTAATTGTGGAAGGCAAAGCCAGGCCCTGAGCCTCCCCCACCCCACCCCTAGCCTCAGCTGTTTCCAGAGTCACAAGCTCTGTCCAACATCTCCCTCCCTCCCTGGACTCCCACAGGAAAGGAGCCAAGAAAGGAGAAGCAGCATCCTGGGCTCTGGTGGAGACTGAAGAGTTGTCTTGGAGACTCCTCCAGAGAAGGGTCTCTGTGCTCCCAGAGGGGCTACCCTGGGGCTGGGAAGGGCCGTCTCACCTGCTATCCTCTGAGAGAGGTGGGGCTGGAGCAGAGAGGTCTGGGAGGAGCTGACTTGGAGCTAATGACCCCACACAGTAGAGGAGCTGGGGGAGAGCAGGAAGAAGGCGTGGAGGGATGGGGGCCTGACCAGAGTCTCTTGGTTTCCCAGCAAGTAGCTAACATGAAGGGGCCCCACTTGGGGGGTTCCGTTTAGAGTAGATGATCAGGCCTACTGCAGCAAGGATTCAGGTGACACAGGAATACACACATACCCCAGGGAGCACAGGCTCCCAGTCGCTTAGAAAGGTGGAGCCCAGATAGGACTGGAAGAGAGGGAACTATCAAAGATTCCACGGGATTGATGGGTGCCAGCCCCAACTCAGTGCCTACCTCACCACCTGCCCCAGCTCCCCTGTACCCAATGAGGAACTGAAAGCCCTGCTGGAAGGCCCTAAGGCCCCCCGCCCAGTCCCAGCTGCCTGCCAGGAAGTGCTAAAGTCTGGTCATCCTCCCTCCCCTTCTGGCTCCCACCCAATTTCTTCCACCTCCCCAGGCTGAGGTTCTCAACTACAGCCAGCTCCTCCCTGTGTCCCCCGGCCTTCCCTGCTGCATACTCCCCTGGACCCAGAGGAAAGCAGGTAAGACCGCCCATCCTGTCTCATCCTGAGCCATGCAGCACAAACCCTTTCCCAGTACACCAGCTCCTTCCATTTCAGCTCCCATAGAGCTTGCCAGGGGAATGGGCACACTGAGATAGGCCCCCAGGAACAGGTGTGGCTTCTATCTCTGCCACTCAGTCCTGTGGGGACAGGGTCAGTCAGTGCTAAGTGCTCATTCAAGGAGACAGAGGTGAACCCCGGGACCCTATAGGGAAGAGATATTGAAGCAGAAGCTTAATGGGTCTCTGGGGAGCGCTGTTGATGAGGCTTGGACTATAGTCGGGAGTGAAGTGGAGGGATAAGGCAGATGGGTACTGTTTGGTCTAGACACCAGGTCCCTGAAGACCTTTTTGCGGGGGGGGCGGGGGGGGGGAGAACAAAGTAAATGTGGGGTGAAGAGAGAGCATGCTTCCCTGACAGGCAACTCCCCAAAAGAGACCAGGGGTACAGCTCCAAAACCAGGGAACTTCCCAACTCCAATAAGCCTGAAAACCTGCCAAATATTCCTTCCTGTTGTTCATTTTCTCCCTCACAGATGATGTCCTCAGACATGGAGACTGAAAACGTCAGTGAGGTGGCCCCTGAGGCCCCACAACCCACCCACATTAACGTTCACATCACCCAGGAGTCTGTCCTGGCCAAACTCCTGCTGGCCGGATGGTCAGCACTACAACTCCCAGCATCTGCCTCGTCCAGGGGTCTAGACAGCAGCAGGTTTCTGGTGACCTCCTGGGTGAGAGTAGCTACATGCTTCGTGAGCTGAGGAGGGACAGCCAGCCAGGCTAAGGAACGGTCCTTTTTCTTGCCTGCCACACTTGCCTCTGGCCTCCCTCTCTGCCTAAGATATTGAGCTGGTTTGTTCGTCTTAGTAGAAATCGGTCCAAACTCAGCAATCAGTTGCAAGTTAACAGGTGGGCCCACTGCTCACGAGCTGTGTTCTCAAGTCTTCTCTCTTCCAGGTGGTACAGATTGTGCTGGGGCTTCTGAGTGTGGTTCTGGGTGGAATCCTCTGCATCTGCCAGTATTTAGCCATGAATACCTCAGGAGCGCCCTTCTGGACCGGGATCGTGGTGAGCATGAAGGTCCCACGGCTGTCAGAGGGATGAAGTTCTCTTCACTTTCTTCATGCCACCACCATTGATGTGGCATCAAGAGTGTGTAGCCAAGCAGACCTGACCATGTAGGCCAGTTTGGTGCTTGTGTAGATGACAGGAGTGAGGCAACTCTGTCTCTTGCCCCATGCTGCTCCCAGCACACTGACAGCCACTCCTCGTCGTCAATGGCTGTCATCGGTTAGGGCTCTAAGGGTTCACCCATCTCTGATGTCTGCCTCGAGACAGGGGAAGTAGAGCATGGCAGGCGGGGAGCATCTTCTACCTCCCTTTACTCCTCCAATGGGATCCGACATGCTGCTATCTCTAATGACAGCTGGTTGGGTTGGGCATGGAGGGTAGAGAACTTTCTGACAGGCACACACACTCAGAACAGCAAAAAACACACACTCATTCACTGAGAACAGAGATGAAAGGAACTTCGCTAATCCTCCCAATGGCAAAAATAGACGGATTAATTCTAGAATAGTCAAATAGGGTCAGGACCCATGTGTCCATGGTGTGCACCAGACTTCCTGTTCTTCTGCCAGAGGGGCCCAATACCAGCTAGTGCAGGTGTCTGGACCCGAGGCTGCCTAAAGTCACATCCTGCATGGACAGCTCTTCTAACAACTTGGGACTTTGATCCACAAGATCCCCGGTCCTCCGAACTTTCATCAGGAATCTGGTGCGTTTTCAAAAGAAGACTGTAGGGACAGACAAGAAGGTTCACACATGGCTTAGCCACGAGCACCTAGGTGTCACTCAAACAGTGTCCTACGCCCTCACCGATGAGCTCCAGGCTCATCGCCCTGCACAGTCACTCCACTGCAGACAATGCAGATAGAATGGTATAGGCCGTGTGGCTGGCACTACAGATAAGAGTCACAGGAGAAATAAGGCAGGGAATTAGTGGGCATTTGTCTTTCCTATGCTGACTCTTCTTGTTCATTCTCTTCCCAGGCTATGCTGGCTGGAGCTGTTGCCTTCCTTCACAAGAAACGTGGGGGTGCCTGCTGGGTGAGTTTAGGACCAGGCAAGACCCACACTCGACCCTCCTGCCCCATCACACACAAGCTGGGTAGTTCTGAATCTTCAATGTCTTCTATTTCTTCCTCTCTCTAGGCCCTGTTGAGGACACTTCTTGTGCTGGCAAATTTCTGCATGGCTGTGGCTGCCATTGTTCTTGGAGCTAGTGAGTTCCACATTTACCGATACTATCTCAGAGATAATGTCTGTGCAACCCGCCCTTCAGATTTCCGGCCCCCCCGGTCCCCCAGCACCCCATCTCCAGAGGAAACTGATAGGATAAGCCTGTGCATATTCTACGTAAGCATGCTAAAGGTAAGTGGCCGTGGAGAAGGGCAGCTGCAGACACTGGCAGGGAGACAAAAATGGCTGGGAAAAGGTACCCCTCCCCCTAGTCTTGGTGATTGTTCCTAAAGATGCAGGACTGAGCCAACCAGAAACTGTTCCCACTGCTGCTGGCATGACATAGGAATACTACTAGTCACAAGTGACCCAGGGTTGCAAGTATGGCAAGGGTTACCAACATGTATGCCCTCCTTGAGGTTGTCACTTACTTCAAAACTCAACTTCTGAGGAGAGTGGGAAACATTTCTGATGAATTCTACCCCCTGGACCCATGATCCCTCTGTAGTCCAGAAGCTGTAGACTTTGGAGATGAGGGATAGAAAGTGACCCTTGTCTGGAGAGAGAATGGAAAGGGGCAGGACCATGGCCATCACTCCAGCACCCTTGTCTTTGTCCTGTGTTCCCAGCCCCTGCTCATAAGTCTCCAGGCAATGCTCTTGGGTGTCTGGGTGCTGCTGCTCCTGGCTTCTCTCATCCCTGTGTGTGTTTACCTCTGGAAAAGATTCTTCACAAAGGCGGTAAGTCCCTACGCCATGTGTTTGGGGCAGCGGCATGTTCAGATGAGACATCAATGCTTAGGGAAGAAGGGGACCATTATATGAGTCCCAGGAAGAGTCATGTCTTTCTGTCCCATTCCACAAGGTCCGTTTCCAACCACTGTTCCTATCTAGGAAGCCATAGAAGGCCACATCTATCCCAGGCCTGTGGAGCTTTTTGTCATGGGTCCTATGCAGTTGAGATTGGCTCTGCCTGGCTCCAGAACTAGCTGGCCTAGAGCACAGGACCCTGCTGTCCCTTCTCTCCCTGCCACTAACATCTTGCCCTGGCCTCTTTCTTAGAAAACAGACGAGAAGAAACTGCTGGGTGCAAATGTGATCTAGCCCTGCCTCTCCCTTGCTCTGGACCTCCCTCCTTCTGAAGCCTGAAAGAAGAGTTGGACAAGAGCAAATAGACCCTACCCCACCGACAGGGCATGGCTCCTGCCTGGCTCCACCCAGCTTTGCTGTTGCTCACAGCAGCCCTCGCTCATTTCTCTCCACCTTCACCATCCCATGTTCCTTCTCAGGCAGTGACTTGATAATAAAGTCTCACGGCATTGGCTGCAGATTCTTGCTTTGTCACTCCAAGGAGTTCTCATTGGCTGGGAAGCAGGGCAAGGTAAGGACAGTAAGCCTACGATGCGCCTCACATAGCTGCAGCCTCCTACCCACGTCTAGACTCACACAACCTGAAAACAACTGACTGGGTGGGCTGGGTGCAGGAGTAGAGACTCTGCCCCCCAGATCCTGATATAAGAAGATGGGTGTCTGGCAGTTGGATGGATGGCTTCTCATTTTCACTGTTGAGCAAAATCAAGACACAGACAGCATAACACCAAGATACAAACATTCCAGAAATCTCATTTATTTATTTATTTATTTTGGGGCTGTTTAAGATAGAGACTTCCAGGCTGAAATTGAATTCATGATCCTCCTGTCTCCATCTCCTGAGTACTGGGATCACAGTTGTGTGTACTGCCATCCTGGCTCTGAAAACTTTTTTTTTTCAAGTTAGTGATCCAATGATATGGTGAAATAAACCCCAAATTAATTTATCCCTTAAAAATACCGAAAACTAGACAACATATGACTCATATATTTAAAAATTCCATGGGTGTGTGTGTGTGTGTGTGTGCGTGTGTGTGTATAAAGATAATATCAAGATAATAAGAACAACCTTAAAGGCCATAATAAAGGCAGGGGATGGATCCAGAGCACTGTCTTGAGTTGGTCTTATGTCAATGTGCCATGAACACCTGCACATTTGGGGTTCCTCCTGCAGGGCCTAAAGGATCAGCATGTGTCTGTATTTGTGGATAACCTAGAGCATCAAGAAGATATACCCTAGAATTAAGGCCAGGAAGACATTCTAGGAGGGCTCTAGGGAAACACAGTGTTGCTTCTGACATTCCCCTCTGGTGAGAGGCCACCCACCACCCTCTGGGGAGAGGCCACCCACCACCCTCTGGTGAGAGGTGCAGGCCCGTTTCTGCCAGAGGAGCCCTTGTAAGGCTCTGAGATGAATTTTCCTGAAAGCTAGACATTGGGGTGCCCTCTCTCTCCACTAGAATAGACTCCACTAGTCAAGATTCCTGAGTGGGAGGTAAGAGGGAGCAGGTGTTCTCTTACAATCCCATTGCTTGCATAAGCTAGGCAAGCTCATACTGTGGAATCTGCTGAGGCATACAAATCCACCCAATCAGCAAAAGAACATTCTAAAAGCCAAATAAAATCAGAGCTGCCCACTGTGATGAAGAGGGTGGGGGAGAAGAGGAGGCTGAGAAAGCCGTGGCCAAAGAGGGTTCTGAAGATGGGGCTGACGTCAGCAGGCAGAAGATCCATGAGGGTGGACAGCAACAAAACCAACAAAATTAAACTTCAAAACCAGAAGGCCACTGTGACCTCTTCACCCTCCACTTCCCGTCTCAGAATCAAAATGTGGTCACAAACACGAAGATTCACCCAACCCACTTGACCTGCAGATGCTGTGCAAACTCAACCACCGCAGCGCGAGTTTGCAACAGGAAAGGAAAGACCCAGAATTTCCAAGATCCTGTTTTTCTATTCTTCTTAAAGCTACTTTAAAGGGAACTTGGCGTTTCTCGTCTGTTTCTCATCTGTTCGTACAGATTGCTAGAGATTGCAACTCAGGTGACCAAACCGGCTTTCAGAATATTCTGTGCCCCACAGCTTCACTGTCTTTACCTACAGTGTGACCATGCTCATTATACTCTCAAAGAAGGAAAATAAAATCTTGCTTTAAAAAAAAAGTCCTAGGGGCCGGAGAGATGGCTCAGTGTTGAAAGTGTGTACCGCTCTTGAGCTTTGTTCCAATCACCCACATCAGGCAACTCACTGTTGCTCTGGCTCCGGGGGATCTGACACCATCTGCTGGCTTCTGTGGGCACTGCACTCACGTGCAAATACCCACACGAACACACACACACACTCACGTGCAAATACCCCCCACACACACACACAGTTTTTAAATTACCCCCTTTTTTCTCCTTCCTGTCTATCAGGAAGTGAGGAGCATTTCTGCCACACACTCCTGCTGCCATGATGTTCTGTCCCAGTGATAAGCAGCAATGGGTGAAGCTCCGGGGCCCAGATTTTTCCTCCTTAAGTAACAAAAAGTAAAACAATGGCAAAAATAATCCTGTTCCAAGCATTCCAAGGACCTCTCCTTACTAGAACAGAGTTCGCTAATTAAAATAACCTTCTTCCTTCAAGTTTTTAGAACAGGCATTAGGAAAACCCATCTGAACAGTCAGCAGGGTTGGCCTATGCAAACACTGTGGAAGGTGTGTCTTCAGAGCACAGGGACAGCCATCAATGAGCCACTGGCAGAGGCTGGCATCATTCCCCCATTTTCATTCTTTCTCTAGCCCCTGTAATATGCATCCTGGACATTGATTGGGTACTTTACTGTTCAGGATGAAGACTGAGTTTCCCAGTGTCCTTTGGTGAGTGGATTCTAGAGAGCGGATTAGGAATTAGTCCTACGTATACCTCCTGGGACGCACATAGGAGGCAGATCCCCTCTGCTCACCTTTCTGGCCTTGGAACAAGCCACACTGGGGTGACATCACAATAGAGAAGGAAAGCACACACAACACGGGGATCCTGAGGAGCCGAGTAAGATGTCTGTACGAGAGGCAAACTTGTGTTAGTTTGTGTGTTCTGTCAGAAGCCATTTCCACCGCACGAAGAGTGGCAGCTGAGCTTGTCCAGACGTCACACTGTAGACAAATATCCGTCATTTCAAAGACGATGAAGATCGGGGCTGGAGCGATGGCTCCACTGCTCTTTGAGAGGACCCAGGACTGATTTTCAGTGCCTACATGGTGGCTCACAGTTCCAAATGATCTGAGACTCTCTTCTGTCCCCTGTAGGCACCAGGCATGAACATGGTGGACACACGTACCCACAGACAAATCCACACACAAAATAAAAATAAATAAAATTTAAAACATTACAAAAAAATTAGTGTCTTCCCAAGAAGGAGCTGTGAGGCCTGCCTGACGACAGCTCACTGCAGCTGGGGACAGACCGTAGCAAGCGCAGGTGGGAAAGGTATGGACAGGACAGAGCTCATAGGAAGACATGCGGACTCGTGTTCCACTTGACTGCTCTCCATGCATGCACAGCCCTCCCTAGCTTCCCCTGCAGCCACTGAGGATGCTCATAGCGCCCTCAGAAATGCTCTTTAGTCTCTTGTAGTGTGATGAGTGAGAGGCCAGCCAGGGTGCCTCTATGGCTACATGCCTTGCAGTCCCTGATACAGCCTCAACAGCCACCTCAGGTAAGAGTTCTTGGCTCCCCAGGCCTGCACTTCCCTTGTGCTTCTCCCTCTCCACCCGCAGAGACTCCCGGGAAAGCTGGACAGCTCTCTGAATAGCGACCTTTCTGAGCTCTCATCTGTGCGCTGCTTCTCACTGCTTCTAAATCAAAGGGCGTGTTGCTTCCACCAGTACATCTCCCAGGGCAAAGGCAAAGGCAGGAGGATATGTAACGTGGACATCAGAATGGCAGTCTCCTTGCTGCAAAGGTGAGCGAAAGGGAAGGGAAGAGACTGGCCTGTGAAAACACAGAGGGGTCTACAGTCATGATCAGCTCCTCACTTTTAACCCAGGAGGGGCATATGTGTTACTAATGAAACTGTACACATGTTTATACCCTCTACTGCGTGAACTTCATCGTCGCAGCACAAACCGCACACCACAATTACAGAAGTGAGGGCTTGTGGGAAAGTCATTCATTGCGTCAGTTAACACATCATCACACAAACGTTCTGCACCACAGCAATAACACTTCAATAGTGCATGGTCACGCCCAACCTCAGCAGAGAACGTCTGATAAAGTAGGTTATTACAGTGGTTCCCACACATACAAATCCCTATGATGTTTATAATTGGGTTCGTTATCACAGTCACAAAAAAGGAGAAAAGAACAATGTGTGGACACTTGGAATTTGGGTTTTAGTTCTAATGGATTATGACTTTATGGGCCTTATGAATACAGATATTGAAACATAACCACAAAGTCATAGGAAAAACTAAGTTAACAAGAATGGCAAATAGTCAAGTGAAAGTTTAGCAGAATACCAAATAAAGAATCAGAATGTCAGGAATCAGTTCATGCCTTCCATTAAGGACTCCGAGTGTTAATGGCCTAAATTTTCCAGGCAAAAGGCAAAGACTAGCAGATTGAATTTAAAAACACAACCCATCTAGTTGTGGCCCACAAGAAACACACTCCGCTATCACAGATGAACACAGTTTTAGGGTACTGTGGATGGGAACTGACATCCTAAGCCAATGGAAGTAGAAAACAAACCAGTACAGCCATACTAAAAATCTAACTAATTAGACTTCAAACGAAAATTATTCAGAGGGAGAAAAAATCCATCAAGAGGATATTGCAATTCTAAACATAGATGAATCTAACATCAATTAACCTGATATGATAAAACGAGCAATACTGGCTGTAAAGCCACAGACTGACCGCAACCCAATAATAATCTATAGTTCCCACATCCTTCTTGCACTGATCATCCAGAGCCATAGAAACAAACCAAACACAATATTAATCCATGATCCCTCCATCCTTCTTACACCAATAGACTGATGATCATCCAGAGTCAAACCAAGTTCTCAAATCAGTAATACAAAATTTCATGCCAGGAAATAGAAACAGGAGAGAGCTAAATGAAGCCAAGGGAGGCAGAAAAAAGGCAAAACAGGAAACAGGATATTAGAGGGAGGAAAACCCATGATGCGAGAAGCTGGCCATGAAAAGGATCACTGAGTTGACAGGTGAACAGCACGAAAGCAAGAGCGACAACAAACACAACCAGAGAAACTCCACAAGTTAGCAGAGACCGAACACCCCACTCTGTGGGGTCGGGAAGTCGCACAGCGACTGGAAAAGCCAGGTTGGCAGTTCCTTAAACATTCCAGCCCACATCGTACATTTCAGTGGCTCCACTCCTGGGTATTTATCCTAGAAAACTAAAGCTTATATAACCCTGCATCGGAGTGTTCATGGCAGCTCTCTTCATG